CCAGACCTGAACACAGTCTAAGTTACTGGCTATAAATACCCTTGGAGGGTAACAAACCCTTCGGGTGCTGCAAAGGGAACCGGCCGGGAAGTCGCCGGGCTTGTCCCTGCGCCATGGCCAGGCCAGGCCAGCCGCCCCCGGCTCGATTCGCAGGCGCCCGCCGCGGGAGGGTCCGGGCCCAGCGGGGCAGTGGCGGGGCTCACACCCGCCAGGGGAGGGCCGGGGGCCGGGCCCGCTACAGACCCCCGTGACACGGGGACAAGCCGCCGAACCGCCGCCGGGCTCGGGGGGAGGAAAGCTCCTTTGTACGGGACTTAGAGCCCGGCCGAGCCCCGGCGCTTCCGGACCCCCGAGCGGTGCCAGGCCCGGCGGGGGGAAGGCAGGAGGGCCGCTCGCTGAGGGAGGCCCCGGCCCGGCCTGGCCGCGGGGGCAGCTGGGACACGGGGGCTCCGGAGGGGCGGGGCTTGCAGAGACCCCTCCCCCCAGGCCAGGGCCCAGCCCCCCGGTACCGTGCGGCGCGATCCCGTCCGGCGGCGGCGGCCTGCGCAGGGACATGGTCTCCGGGCGCCGAAGCGCATCCCGGGCGGGCGGGGCCCGGCTCCGCTTCCTGCGTTAGCGGCGCGCGGCCGCCGATGTCATCGCGCCAAGCGCTTGCGCGTGAGGCGCCCGTCCCAGGGCGGAAGGGACCTGTAGAAGCCACTGCGCGTGCGCCTAACGGACGCAGCCTCCTGAGAGAGTCCGGCCTGCGCGCGCGGCTTCTCGCGCTCGGTCCCGCCCCCCAGCGCGCGCCTGCGGCACGTGGCTGTGAGCAAATCGGTGCAGGGCGCGGGGCTGGGGCAGCCGCTGCAAACCCGTCCCTCGTGCACGCGGAGCGGCGGTGGGCCCTGCCCACGTTTCTGCGCTGAGAACGTGCTCTGGGTACAGGATAAACCCAGGGTGAAAGCACGCACGGGCCAGCTCCAGCTAGGCAAGGGACGGGAACTGACCCGCAAGATGCAGAGGTCGCACGGCCTTCTGCAGCGCTGCTGGCAAGGGGACTAGGAAAGAAACAAGGCGCAAAGCTTGCACGGGGCGGTAGAATGGTGACATGGACGAAGAGCTTTACCCCAAGCTAGCACTTTTACATTACATGCTCCAGCCCAACACTCAAACCATGGTACAAACCAGCCAATGACTATCCAGAGAAGGAAGAAGATGCTTTTTAGGATTTGTCACAGCCTGTGTTAACCCAGATCCCAAAACGTAAGTGTCTAGGGATAATTTGAACACAGGTTAGATGTAGCAATGATGGGTTGGATTAAGTTGTAGGCAAGTACAGCAGAGGTGCAGAGATGAAGTGAAATGGTGAATGAATAGTAGAAAATCATATTTAACAACCTGGTGACTGGGAACAGTATCCCCTCAAAGAAATTCATAAAGTGACAGTGCCCCAGAGGGTAGTATGAAGGACGAGGTAGATCACATCTGCATTTCAAAAGAAGTTCTAATTTGTTAGCAGATGTACAAAGGAACAGATGTGGGCAGTAGCCATAACCTTACTATCATTAAATTGAAGTTCATGTTAAAAAGGATGAAGAAGGTTAGAAGACCGCACATCAACAGCACACTATTAAAAGACCCAGACATTAAGTACAGTTCAGTTTGTTGAAACCCGGCTTCAGTTTATTGTAGTAGAGACAACTGAAGAAAATCAAGACATATGCTCTACAGGAAGCTATCAGAGCATACGACTTAGGACTGTCTTTGCCATTTCTAACAGCAATAGAGTCTAGAAAGGGAAGGATGGATTAGCAATGTGATTGGGGTAGCAGTAGAAAAGAAGCTAAAGCAAAATCTCTTGAATGCTAAGACTAAGACATAAGCAAGTGGAATACAATGACAGAGCTCTACCCGGAGAGGAAAAAAAAAGTACTAGAGGAGATAAAAGGGCATATATAAGGTCAAAACATGTCAAGAGGCTGACCATGCTAGCCAGAGTGACCTTACAACCTTGTATAAGGATCAAATATCAAAGGAAACTTTAGCAATAGTGGAAGACCTCTTAAAGATGCAAATAGAAAAGACTTCTAGTGCAGAAGAACAAAGGGAAAGATGGGCAAAACATTTTCAGGCTGTTTTAAACAGACCAAGCCCAAGCAAAATTACTAGACATTTGTGACAAAGACCTACCGCCCGAGTTTGGTATCGGTTTAGGAGATATTATAGTGGATGTTAGAAAAGCCATCACTAATCTTAAAAATGGCAAAGCACCAGGAGAGGATATTACTGGAAAGACACTTAAAGCAAGTGCTGAAACAGCCCACAGACTTTTCTTGGGGGTTTTCAATAAAATATGGATAGAAGAAAAGAATCCATTCCACTGAAAGAGGCCTTTTAGTAAAATTGCCAAAGAGAGGTGACCTTACCAACTGCCATAGCTGGAGAGGAATCATTACTCAGGGCCTAGGAAATAATGCATCCTGGAATGTATCAAGAAGCAAATACAACTCCAACTTAACCTGCTTGTTCCTCTCTTTCATTGAGATCATGCGCAGACTATAATTGTTATTCTCAGAACAAAGTATGGAGTGGCAAGCACCTCGTGATAAGTTTTCTTGATTGCACACAGAAATAGCCTTTGCAAAATTATGTATGCTATGGAATACCAGCAAAACCAATTTGAATAATTAAGGCTCTATGTGATAATTCTGAACATGCAGCCAGAGATGGTGCCAATAGCCAATAGGTTGCAGCAACAACTGTAGTAAGGCAAGGGTGTATTATGTCCCCCCTATTGTTTCCATTCATCATTTGCTATGTCAGGAGGAAAGTAACCGCAGAAGGCAACCAAGTAATTTTATGGGCAAATGATCAATCACAATTGGATGACTGTTTTTCATGATGACATCGTCCTGCTTAGTTCAACACATAATTTAATGGAAGAAAACACCGTGCTTTTGGCATACACAACAAAAGTATGTTCATTAACAGGAAGACAAAATAGATGACTACTAATGTCCCCAAAGCATTCAGAGTAAAAGTAGTAAGTCACGTTACCTTCCCAGGGAAGAATGTGCAATGAGGGTGACACCATGGTAAATGTCAAGCAATGAATATCAAAAGCAGCAAACAACTTTCATAAACTTGGAGATTTGGAAAAATGGCCAGATTGACACCAACAAAAATACGAATATTTAACACCAGCATCATGTCTGTCCTTTATGGAGCAGAGTCATGGAAATCTATAAGAAAATTGATAAGATTATTTCATTTCAAAGAAAATGCCTGTGAAAGTTCAGAGTTTCTTGGAAAGAGTTTCTGCAAAATCAGAAGTTCTAAGGAGAGCAACCAACCTAAAGCATCAAATATGGTAAGATGACAAAGATGATCACATTTAGGACATCCTTTAAGGATGCCACCAACATGACTTCCATATCAAGTAAAGTCCACATGGACACCACCTGGAAAGGGAGAGGGTGACCCAGAGGAACATGCGCAACAGAGAAAGAAGCCAAATCCATCAACTGACACCCAGAAGGGCTCCTCTCTACAGTGCGAACGAAGACGAAAATAAGCAAATTGACCATCAATGAGACTGTACCAAAACAGATGTCACTTAGTTGTATTAATATCTTCTATAGCAGAGTTAGCCAGCCACCCTGGAATTTTTTACTTCTAATTTGCTTTAATTTTTTCCTCCCTTCTCACATTTCCCCTCCTACATTTCAGGCCCAGTTTAATAGTACACCTCTACCCTGATACAACGCTGTCCTCGGGAGCCAAAAAAATCTTACCGCGTTCTAGGTGAAACCATGTTATATTGAACTTGCTTTGATCCTCTGGAGTGTGCAGCCCCGCCCCCCGGAGCGCTGCTTTAATGCGTTATATCTGAATTCGTATTATATGGGGGTAGAGGTGTATCATGCATTTACATAGCACCTCATCCACTAACACCACTTTACAAAAGGGAGTTCTTGCAGGTATGGATTTCTCCAGTGTGTATTTGTACAGCGTCTGGCACACGGAGGCCCTGATCCTCACTGGGGCTTCTTGGTGTTAAAGACAAACTTTGAGATTGCATCATTTGCCATTTAAATGCAGCCACTCTGGGTTGTAAGGTGGCAACTCTTTAGCAGCACACCAGTAGTTTAGGCCAGGAATTAAATCCCAGATCACCAGAAACTCAACATTTGCTTTGCCAGACAAAGATCCCTTTTCAGTTAACTACATATCCTCCATCACATTGCTTGTGTTCCTGAAGTTTCATTCCATGGATTCAGAGGAAGGGCTCCACACACTCCCAATTCCAGAATTGGAGAGTCACTGCCTTAATCCAGCTCAAACCGCAGGGGCAATTTGGGTGGAAATAGAATTACTCGAATTATCCCCACTCTCCTACACAAAACCGAATACTTTCGAAGACCAACGTAAGGTTTTTAGTGACCACAAATGACCAGGACATTTGTTTTCATCCTTCACCCAAGTGACAGTGTTGCCAGCAATAGTGTGCCCCTAATCGCCACAGAGACCGACTCAGAGGAAAGAATGCACCCGCCAAATCACCACTTCCTGCAGCACCTAGATGCTCTTTGGAGGCCTCCATCCAAGCTCTGACAAGCCAGGACCTGCTTGCTTGTGAGAGCTTGGAAAAACCAAGGCACAAAGTGGCACAGGTACAGAAGATGAAAAAGTACTGTCTGAGCAGGGCACAAGTTTCCGCAGCATTAGAATGGATACAATAACATTTCATCTTTATTTCCTTTTTTGGAAGACACCACTGTAATTTGTGTAAAATCAAAGCAATTTAGTATGCATGTGCAACTAGCTGCAGGTTACTGTACTGCTCACTCTGTGGTGGTGATTTTGTTTCAATGTTTTTATTAAAAAAATTAAAGACCTCCATGGCACAACTTCTTCCCAGCATGGTTAAGTTTAGTTAGAACAATTACAATACAATTACAACCAATAAATCGAGAAAAGAAAGTCTAACTTCAACAAAAAAAGGGCCACTTCAAACAAGATAAAAAACCTTTTTTAAAAAAAAGACCTTGAAGGTTAGTTGCCAACAGGACTAATATATTGGCATTTGATTTCCTGCCACTTAACACAATGCAGAGACAAGTACTGCTGAGAAACAAGTGTTCCAATACAAGGTATACAGATGAGGTAATCTACAACACAGAAGTTGTTACAATCTGTAAACCCTTGCCCTCCCATCACCACTTGGACACACTATCCCAGTCTATTTAGTTGCATGCTTGTGCAGTGAATCTGATGTAGCACTTTATATAAAGAGCTTGTGTCACTTCCAGATGGAGTCCTTCCATTCTCATCTTGTTTTCTTGCTTTCTTTTGCAAGGCTTGATGGGCACAAGAACCTTCAGCTGTTTGTGGTTTCCTTATTATACAGCCTTATCTACAATGATACTCTCCTAGCTAGGAAGGAGCCAACTGTTTTGATTGACAGTCCTCCTTCCTCATTTACCAAAAAAAATAAATTGGTTAAGTGTCCTGTGTAGCTCCCGACCTAGTGCAAACAAACCACAAGTGATATCTTTGCCATACTTGGTGCTTTTAGCTACTGCACATCAAGGAAACAGTCAACATGGTCCGATTTTCACATCATTCTAGGATATAAAAAGATTAAGTACAATAAATTTCCACTGGATGACATCATGGAGAAGAAAGCTACCCTGGTGCTCATTAAAAATTCATCTCCCATTTAGGTGATCCTAATGGAAAGGGGACTATGGGTTCCATGCTGGCCAGTTTCTCTCAATTTAATCCAGCCCATGCACTCAACTGCCTTACTTTGCAGAATTAATTGAAGCAATAAGGAAATAATGGTTGAAACCCCCCCACAAAATTAAAGTGGTAGGTGCTTATAGAACAAGCAGGGGTGAAATGCCAGGGCGTCAGGACTTGTTGCAAGAACTAGAAGAGTACTCAATGCCCAGAACAAGCAGCTGCTGCAACGGCATTACAATGAGGATCCAGAAGTGATGGGTGCCATTGTGCTTAAAGTCTCTCCGGTGGAGCACCTGACAAGCGTAAGTGGTTTGATTTCAGTGAACAGCAATGCACAAAAAGCTGGGAATTGTTTCCCTCCCACAAATCCCAGCCTGGTTGAGAAACAAAAGGAGTTCTATGGCAAAAGATCCTTATCCCAGGGGATACTTTGGCTTGTGATGCTTCTATAAGGCTTCTTTGCACTGCTCACTACAACAGATCGTACAAAGGTGCATATGAATAGGAAAGCAGCCTCCCTCAATACGTGCAGGCCTGCCGGCCACTCCTGTGTAAAAGTGTGCGACACCAACCCAGTGAGACCTTTACACAGGGAACTTAAATCTAACCTTGATAAATAAAACCAAATGTTTATTTACACCAAAGAATTCCAACACTGGATCTTTCACATATGAAGGACAAAGTATATATACACAGCAAAGGGTAGCAAGGCTGTAACAAGGGTGCTTTGTCATCAATAGTAATATCTGTCCACAATTACAGGTCTACCATTTCAGTTTAAATTAGTCTACTCGCTCCTTCCTCTCAGTGCGTATTTACAAGACTGTGAGGTAACCAGTATTCTCACCACATGGCACATGAGGGTGGGGGTGGTGGGTGAGGACTCAATACGTGACTTGGCGCAGTCTGATTTTCCAGCTCTTTAAGTAGCCACCATTTTGAAATCTGTATAAACAATTTAAAAAAACAAAACCAATATCCCCAGTAACAAATTAATTCCAGAATTCCAAGCCAAGGGATTGGCCGGAAGAACCTTATGTGGAAAAGGTACTGATTAGAGTACAGCTTACCCTACTGGAGCACCTTCAACAGCAGATGGCAAGAGCGTCAACTGGATCAGTAACTTTATGCTTTAAGACTAAAATTACATGCAAGGGAGAGAGTCAGCGCTCTGGTTAGCTCCTAGAGAGACATGATTCATACAGGACAGAATAGGGTTTTAGGCCTTATCTGCGCTTATTTCTTATAAGTTTTTACCATCTCTACAAACTGAAGTTGTCTCCTCAATGTACCCCAGTTGAGTCATATGCAGAATATGGTGTTAAAGTGACTGGTACTTTAAGAATCCCCCTCCCACTGCCTTGTGAAGACTTGGTCTGGTAGACTCCAGAGAAAAGCACAAGACAATCCCCCCAAGTTGTGAGCTGGTGGAGGAGTAATGGTGGGACTATGAAGAGAAGAGATTTCCAGCAGGATACAACAGCCTGGAAATGTAGTTGGTTCATCTTTGTTCTCAAGTGATGCGGAGTCTGGGAAAAAAAATTGTCCGAGAAATATTCCATCTGCAGTATTTTCAGGGATTCCCCTGAGTTACGAAAAGTTCAAGTAAAAAAAAAAGAAAAAAAAATCAGCCTATAATAATTTTTTTATATAATGACTGAACTACTATAAATCCACAAGCAACTGTTCAGACACGGTGCCTCCAAAGCGTTCCATCCCCTCCCTTCCCCGGCCAGGTGCAAACTGCCACCTGGGGAGAGGTAGAGGGGGAACCTCTTCCCCACCTGACTCAGCTCAGGCATTCGGAGACAAAACCCATCACTACTGCTGAGCGCCTGCAGCAGCTGGAACCGGCATCCCCAGAGTATTGGTGGCAGAAATCACGGGTGAGCCTGCTAGAGGTCCAAGGGGCGAAGGTGTTGGCACTGAAGAGATCCCTGAAACAAGACAGTTCAGCATGAATTAGAGCAGGGATGGCACATCATACCTGAGGCAACCCAATATGCTTCTCAAGGCCACGTTAGTGGGAGTGTAGCCAAATGCCACTACGTTCTAAAGAACAAGAGCTTTCATTGGCCTCTAAACCATCCCCATTGGTCTCAAAGGGTGGGGGGAGAATCATGTTTGTACACGTCTCCTCTTGGGAGCAGCCACGTGACTCTGGATAAGTACTATCCTCCCCTCGCGACATCTTTCAACCCTGCCCCAAAGGCATTCAAAACAATAGAGCACTTCCCTGTGAAACAAGCAGGGACCATGGCAGGTTAGTGAAGCCATACCCAATCTTTCCTCCTATTTCATCCCCAACTCGTTTGTAGCCCCTTTACACAGGTCATACCCTGGGGCTGACGGCTAGCAGCTTTGCCTGCAGAATTCACTAGTCCCGATTGCCTTCCTCACCTCCCATCTCGCTGTTGTACAGGAAGTTTTACAGCAATGACCAAGAAGGAACTGACCTGACATCATACTTGCGCTGCTGACAGGAGTGCTGCCACCTGGCATGCTGGATGAACCCATCCGAGCCTGGTCCTTCACAATGGGATCTAACAACATACGAGGGGGGTTAGGTTTTGTTCTGCCAGACAGCATCGCAGAAGCACAAGACCTGTATATGCACTGCTAACTGCTGTATAAGTATGTACCAAGCATTTGTATATGAAGTGTCAAATTCTGCCCTCTGACTTCATCAGGAAATGCACACAGGTGTACGAGGGTTGCATCTGATCACTGATAAGCTGCACTAATGCAGCACTAGTCTCAGTGGGTGTGCTTGACATCATAAAAGGAAGCTGAGGGAAATGTATCCAAAGTTAGTTTGGGAAGGAAAGACTAAGTGACTTGACTTGTAATAAAGATGATCTCTGAAAGTGAGTTTAGTGGACCAGAGACCAAGATTTATCCCAAATTAACAGATAATTTCCAAATACAACCCTAAGCTGTTCAGTGTATTGAGGGTTTAACACGATACTATAACTTCGGGGGTGACAATGACTTTCATAAAAAGCCTCTGTTTCATTAACTGCCCCTTTTCTTCCCAGCTGCAGACAGACCGTGCCACAGCCAGGGCTGATGATAAAAGACCCGGACCTGCAGCAGCAGCAGCGCAAGGAACCATAAATGTTCCCCTGGTTCTGCTGAGCTACAGCTGAGCAAATCTTGAACCCATTTTTCTGCAGATACTGGTTCATATTTGGAATAAAATTATCTTCAGCTCTTTCTAGACGTCTTTTGCATTTGCTCTTCATGGAAGTTCTAGCACTCAAGCTTTACAATTGCTAATCACCAGGAAAATCAATTTTTTAGCTCTTAGCATTTGCCAAAAGCAAACCGAGTTGTGTATTAAGTTGCAAAATGTTCACTGTAGACTGTGTTGGTTAATGGTATGAGTCAATCAGGGACCAAGGAAACAACGTGACGAGTGTTACTAAGCAGATAATCAGATTTAACATTTTTGCAACTATTCACAAAAAATCTGCAGACCAAGAATTATTTGTTGAAGAAATCGCAAATAAGTTTGAACAAATGTGTGAGAATTTTGCCATACTATCAAACAAAATATAGGCAAAAACTAAAACAAGTTATTCATTCAGTTACACATTAAACAACAAAATGGGATGAGGTACTATTCATTTGGTTTTATTAAAACACAGGAGATAGATCAGAAATCAGGCATCTGTGCTGCAATTATCACCAAAGCAACACCACTAAGTGTCTTCATTAACAAGGCAGATGATTGACTGGTTTGGCAATACCATATACCACAACTCATTCTCCCTCCTGGGAGTGCCTTCCCTTCCCAGAAGGGCAAGTCCAGGCTGGCTTAGGTGTAATGGACTACCCCATCTACCAACATCAGAAGCAAACAATCTCTCAGATCCTATCCAAGTGTCTGGAGAGACAAGGCTCAGTTTACAGCCACTTGCCCCATCTCCATCATCATTAACCAATAGAACCAGCAGCTCAAACAGTAGCAAAACATGAGAAGGTTTATACTTACAGAAGTAGGGGTGTTCCATGGCTTCTCTTGCTGTGAGTCGTGACTGGTGATCATACCGCAGCAATTTGTCTAAGAAATCCAGAGCTTCTGGGCTCACCAAGTGTTGGTTCTCACTGTGAACAAAGCGCTCCCATCGCTTACGGGAGTGCCTGTAGAGTGAGGAAAGTCAAATGAGCGGTGCCTGCAACTCCACTGTTGAATATGGCTTTTCCTCTTTTAAACAGGGCCTGTTGGCCAGGTGTATGCCACAAGAGATTCAGTCACTATTCAATGTGGCAGCAAATATGATCAAAATTGTACTGCAGATTATAAGTTGAAGTACATCGTGCCACCTCTTGGTGGCACAGTAGTCAATGCGACTTCTTACAGCACTCTTCAGGTTGTGAAATTAACTCCCAGAACTCCCAGCCCACACGTTCGGGGGGGGGGGGAAGGAGAGGGGAAAAAAAAACCGATCTAAGGACTTGTCTACATTATGCGCTGGATCGATGGGCAGTGATCGATCCAGCCGAGTGCTCTCCCATCGACTTACTGCAGTGTCTTCGCTGTGGTAAGTAGATCTAAGTACGTCGACTTCACGTAGCTGAAGTTGCGTAACTTAGATCAATCCCCACCCCTCCAGCGTAGACCAGGCTTGAGTTATGCAACGTCAGCTATGTGAATAACGTAGCTGAAGTCGACGTACTTAGATCTACTTACTGTGGTGTGTCGACGGGAGACGCTCTCCCATTGATTCCCCTTGCGCTTCTCGTTGAGCTGGGGTACCGGAGTCGACGCTAGTGCGATTGGCGGTCGATTTACTGTGTCTATACTAGCCACGATAAATCGACTCCCGCTGGATTGATCGCTGCCCGTCGATCTGGCCGGTAGTGTAGACAAGCTCTCTCTCTCCCTACTCCACCTCCCCCAAGATGGTTTTGGTGGATGTCACCATTGAAAACGATCACTGTACTAGAAAAATCTACCTCCTCCTAAACAGTGATTGATTTGCTATAACAAAGTCAACAGCTACCTCATCAAATTCCCCTGAAGAAGAGTGGTAGCATCTGCCTAGTCACTAACTCCAACTGTACATTTATTGCCTACAGGATCTCCCAGAATCTGTCAGCATCTGTCCTTAGCCACATCTGCAGAGACAGGATTCTTTTCAAGGCAGCACTGCTCTACTGGATTGATATCAGCTGCTTTCTTCCTAGACAGTGGTCTGTGTCCAGACACAGCACTGCTGCCAGAGCATTAGTCTACCCGCTCAAAGATTTTGGGTTGATCTTAAAGGTTCCAGGCTCACCTGCCCAAGATGTCATTGAAGCGTGGATCCAGCTCAATGTTGTATTTGTCTATGTAGTCATATAGATCTTCTGTCCCCAGCACCTTGGCTATCCTCACCAACTGGTATCAAACAACAAAAGAAACTGCTATGAAGGGGGAAGAAGGATGTAATACAACCATCATGAAAGTAACAGTATATCCCCTTATGAGCACTGAAGTGCTATTCCAGAACACTGAATCCACGTTCAGGGGTGGTCTTGTGGCTCCTACTCCCCAGACCGCATAGAATCACAAATACGGCAAACATGCCCTTACCGATATTCAGTTCTTCTGGTCAGTCATGTCAGTCTATTAGAGGAGGGCATGCAATATTCTAATTCAATTTGTAGAGGAAAAGTCCCAAAATAGCAACTGTGTGGGAAGGCAAGAATAAAACCAGGGAAAAGGCAGAAGCCCCAGAATGAGCCACTGAAGGGCAATACACTATCTTAGAGGGCTCGGGAATGAAGGTCTGAACAAGAAGGCCAACATTCTTTAACTTCACATATCAGTTTAGGCACCTAAATCCATGGGGATTAAGGGCTTAATTTTAGACATGTTCCATTTGAAAGTTTTGGCCCATGGTCCTAGAACCTATATAATTCTGGTGCATAAGTACCAAAAGGGGATAAATAATGAACCTGGTGTGAAGTCAGTCACTTTATTGAATAAGAGAAACCATGAAGATGCTGGGTAAGTCTGAGAGCAAGACTGAAGATTGGTATCAAGAAGGGCTTTTCATATAATGTTACTGGTTCATGCTGTTGTTCTGAAACACACGGTCTACTATGCTAAATAGAACCATCGCTCTTGAGGAGAACAAATATCTTCAGATACACCAGCTGAGACAGGGCTCAAATGATGTACTGTTCCTTCTATCCATACGTTTCCATTGAATCAGTAGATAAATGTTACACATTGAATAGAGACTAAAACATGGCTTCAGATTGAGAAAAATAGTGATGATAAATGCTAATTCTTCAGCCCCTTGTGATGGCTGGAAATGCAAACCAGAAATCTGGACCATGGGGATTGCACCTGCCAAACTCACCTGATCATAATTGTCGTGGCCATGGAAAAATGGCTCCTTTCGGAAGATCATACTGGCCAACATGCAACCCAAGCTCCACATATCCAGACTATAATCATACATCTGGAAAAAGCAAAGACACAATTCACTCCTTCTGGCAAGCTAACTTCTTAAGTGACTCCAATGCTAAAGAGAGTGTTGTCCAAATGATATATAGGCCAGATGATGTTAGGAATAAAGAATGAAACGTGCTCACACAATGCGATCTTAAAAAACCTTGTTTGGCTCTAAAATTCCAGTTGCTCAAACTGGGCTCTGGGAACTTAAAAACAGTGGCAGTTGTCCTCAGCTCCATCTTTGTATCTTGATGGAACTGCAGTCCTCACACACCTTGTTACATTCACTGGAAGTTGATATTATGGAACTGATCAATTGGCAGGTTGTGTTGCCAGAGAAGTAATGTGGGGTAAAGCAAGAAAGAATAGAAACAGGTTGTTTCTCCCCTAGGAAAAATTGGCAGGTGAGAAGTTGGCTTGGCCCTGAACCAGAACAGAATCTGGGAGTGCTGGGCCCCTTGGTCAGTCAGTAACATCCTTCCATCCCCAGCACGCAGTTTGTAACCCTCCACAATGGAAACAGCCTGTAGCTAAAATGAACTACAGCAATAACCTTTCTTTTTAGGATTTTAATGGCTCCATTTAGTAATTTATGCCATACATTTAGTTACCCTGAGTGTAAACATGGGTCCAGTTCAATTCTTTGTATGCTCTTCCTTAGTACAAGGCTGGTCCCCTTATCTTCCCTTGCTTCTGAAATCAAGGAAGCAGGCCTGTAAGTTTTTTGGCTCTTCTTTAGAGCCTCTTAGAAACATTAGTCTCTCCAGTATACTGGTGCTGAATACCCTCTGCTCCTTTTTTTTCCTGCATTGGAGGACAGGTCCTCCAAGGTTCTTGAATTCTGTCAAGTCTTCAGATGTTCTAGTTCCTTTAGTCTCCTACTCTGGTATGGTACTGGGCTTCTGCGTAAGCCAAAGTTAAGCAACTTTGGTCTGAACCTCACTTGTGATTCTTACCTGATAATCTACAAGGAGTTCAGGTCCTTTGAAGTATCGGGAAGCCACTCTGACATTGTACTCCTGGCCAGGATGATAGAATTCAGCCAGACCCCAGTCTATTAGCCTCAGCTAGAAATGGAAGAGGAAGAGGTAAGAAGGCCTGGTCTGGGCCTTGGCTCTCCAATTACTTTAGACACCATGTCTCAGAAAATTTTAATTTGGTGAAATTTTAGACTAAATTGGGTCTTTTTAATCCGCTAGAAGTGAGATCATGAACATTTGTGTTGATTCTTGGTAGAGGATTAGTCTCAACTCAACACTGCTACCCCTCTATCTTTGTGCTGGAAATACTTAATCAACCCCCCCCACACACACACATTTGAGACTCTTTGAGCAAGTCAGAGCATTGCATTTCAGTTCCAAGATCTAATGTAGTAGGAAGGAAATTTCTTAGCACAAGCTGCTTCTGTCTGGGTTAACAGGGTGGGGATGTCTCATACAAGATCAGTTTTTGAGGGACAAAGGAACCACATTATAGTCACTAGCATAGCTAGACTTGCAAGTCAAAGCAGTGGCCACATTCCAACCACACAGAGGAATCACCTCTGAATGCATGTACACGTAATCACCCCTAGCTATACATGTTACAGTATGAACTACAACATGTGAGGAAGAGCCGTCACTTAAACAGTTGTAATTCTGTATAAAGTTTAACTGTAGCTATTTAGTTAAAGGCTCTTTACAGATTTTCATTTTAGACTTATTCACATGATGGAAAAGCTGCCACTTTAAGCCTTGATCTCTGGCAGCACCACAGCGCAGCGATGGCATGGTGGAGGTGCTGTAGCTCTGAAGAAAAAAAGCGAAACCCACCCAGCATTCTGCTCCTTACCTTTCTGTGCTCATGGTCAATCATGACGTTGTGGGGTTTGACATCTCTGTGCATGATCCCCATGCTATGACAGTAATCTAAAGCCTGTGTATAGAACAGAGGAAAGGAAGACGTCATTCAACACAGGTTAGCAGCTTTCTTGTGCACCCACTCTGACCCAAGCAGGGGTCACAAAGGAACGACACCTTTTGGTGTTCCTTGAGATCTACTCCCTTGACAAGGCTCCCATGCATAGGAAAGGAGGAAGCTGTATGAGGAGGGATTCCAAAAATAGAGAACTGCCCTACTTCCGACAGCTTTACGAACCGAACCATTGTAAAGTTAATACTGGTTACGATACGGCTTTCTGCAAACCCAGCAGGTGGGGAAGTGTTTTCATACACACCCCAATCTCACCACACAGCAGATCTGATCATCATCCGAGGTCTGTTCTACTCAGAAAAGAAAACCTATAGAACTTGCTTTTCAATACCTTCTCCCCAAGAGTAGGCCCAACAATATGTTTTGGGGAGAGCAATGCTTCTAGCTTCACCTCAGATGCTCCTAATGTAAGTGGAATTTCAATAACGTCTGTAAAAGCAGAGCTATAAGGCACCATGGACCAAACAGGTCTTGCTTCCTTCAAACTCTGATGAAGGGGGAAAAAGGGACACCCCCCATTTGGGTAAGAAAGGGGATTTTGTGCTGCAAATGCACTCCGTTCACAGACTACATTAAGGCAGGAAGACAGCACATCATAGCTTCCAATCCAAGGTTTTCCCCTTTCTCAGGCTGTACACGCACATCTGATTTAGTATTTCTACTTGTCTCAATGTACCCAAAAATTCAAAAGGCAGCAGCCCGTCTATACCCAGCAGGGCTAGAATATGTGGGAACAAGGTAGGCCAGTTCCTGTAAACTCAATATTAGCCCTCTCACGTCTGTCATTCAGAGACCTGACCCTTCTCCCACCTGCATTTGTTTTTTATCACTGACTAGTCACGCCAGCCACTGTAGGACAGTATTGGGGGCAAATCCCAGATCCACACAAAATGGATAAAAATCAATGAACTGGAGAACATCCACTTACCTTCAAAATCTCATACATGTAGAACCTAATATCATAGTCTGTTAATGTCTGGTACAATTGCTGTGGGAGACAAAGACATCACTTCAGTGTTAAGAACAAAGCAGGAAATCACATCCATGCCAATACAGAATAAAACAACCAGGTTCCCTGCAGCTATGTTTTTCCAGCTGCATTCATGGCAGTAGCAACATTTCCTCAATCCACCAGCCACTCAGCGCTGCCCCCTTCCTCCCATAATTCAGCTGTATCATTCACCTCTAATTTTGGCCAATGTAAAGCTCACTTTCAAGAAGTACAGTTCTGATTTCATTTCCCACAGACACCCTCAACCCTCGAATGCAGGGTCATAAAAAGCAATGGCCTGCAGGCTGGCTCTCAGAGGCTGAAGATTTCCGCAGAATTAAGACAACTATTCCAGATGGTGTTAACAAAAGAGTGGCCACACTGGGTCAGATCAATCGTCCATCTAGCCCAGGATCCTGTTTTCTGACAGTGGTTAGTGCTAAATGCTTCAGAGGGAATGAACAGACCATGGCAATTATTGACTGATCCATCCCCTGTCGTCCAGTCCCAGCTTCTGGCAGTCAGAGGTTTAGGGACACCCAGAGCATGAGTTGCATCATTGACCATCTTGTTGAATATCCGCTGATGGACCTGTCCTCCATGAACCTATCTAATTCTTCATGGAACCCCGTTAACTTTTGGCTTTCACAAAGTCTCTTGGCAACAAGTTCCACAGGATGACTGTGCATTGTGTGAAGAAGTACTTCCTTTATGTTTGTTTTAAACGTGCTATTTATTAATTTCTTTGAGTGACCCCTGGTTCTTGTGTTATGTGAAGGGGTAAATAACTCCAGAGGTATGTCAAAAGAGGTAGGGGAAGCAGTACTTAACTCTCTCTCCACAGAACTGAAGCCACAGTAACATGCATTTTCACATTTCAAAATTGGGAAGTGACCAGGGCAATCAATGTTGGGGAGATTCACCTGATGCACAGGAAGTATTTAACAGTATGGGACTTGGGATCAGGGTTCCTGGATTCTATTAAGTGTTCTACTACTGAGTCATAATGAATGAGCAAGTTACAAACCTCTGCCCTCTGCCCCCTTTAATGTCGGGCTAACATGCCAAAAGGAAACAGTGATTGAATTACCTGCCCAAGACAACGGTACTAGTCCCCCCTCTCCATAAATAAAAGTTAAGGGAGGTGGCTTTCAAATGGAAAAGAACACAATTACAAGCAGATATCTCAAACTGTACCTTAAAGTCTGTGTTGTTTACATGTTCAAAAACCAAAGCAGGGGTCCGGGACTAAGAAGAGAGAAAGAAGTATTTAGCTATGTTAAATCTTTGATAAGCAATCTTTGTACACAGTTATGAATGAATCTGGTGATTTTCTATGTTTACCACTAAAATCCCTCCCCCCTTGGACAATTGACATGCTTCAGTTGTTTTCTGGGATTCACAAAGAGATGGCAGAGCTGAAGCCAGCACTACTTTGCACTGGCCCTGTGTTTGCAGAATGAATTCCCACATTTCAGTTCCGTGTTATTGCCCCTTACGCTAGAAGGGTAAGGGCCGGTTTACACTGAAAACTTACATCGGTATAGCTGTGCCTCTCGGGGGTGTGAAAAATCCATACCCCTGAGAGATAGAGCTATGTCCCTCAGGATAGGTAGCGCTAGGTTGATGGAAGAATTCGTTTGTCAACATAGCTACCCCTCCTGTTGCTGTAGCGAGTGTCTACACTGAAGCACTGCAGCTGTGCCGCTGTTAGTGTTTTAAATGTAGACAAAGCCTAAGAAATGGTCTCTGGATGGGGTAGGGCCCTCTGAAAGAAGCTAAACTGATTAGAAGGCTGATCTGATTAAACAATTTAAAGACAGGATTTAAGAGCAGAGGAGAAAGCAGAGTGAGGACAGGTCAACACTGAAGTCAAACGCAGCAATTTGAGCACCATCCCTAAGCCGTTTATACTCACCACAGGGTCTTTTACTATATCTGCAAGGGTGATTATATTGGGACCACCTCGCAAGTTCTCTAAGATCTTGATTTCACGCTTGATTTTCTTCTTTTTTACCGGCTGAAGGAAAAAACCCAAAGCATTGGTAAAATAAAACATTCCAGTGAGTAAGACTAATAGAAAAGTTGCAACTCGGCATCTGTCTCTCTCTTAAAAGTGGCTGTCAGAGCCCTTACGGAATTAGGTTAAAAAGCCAAACTTTCCAGTTTCATTATCTGATTTTGCATGCATTAGAAAGAGGGGAGTCTCAAACATTTGTGATAACAGACCATCTCTCCTTCCACTCTCAGTTGTACAACCACCTGGTGAGAGCAACAGCTAAAGCCACTTATTACCTGGAAAGGTAGCCAAAAATACAAAATGATCCTGATACTATCTATATGATCAGACAGCTGGAAATGAGAAGTAGCACCATGTGACCAGCAAGCTCTGAGTGGAACACCAGCAATACAACCAGTTTGAGAAACTCTGGATTACAACAGTTCACCAATTAAGGCTGCAAGATGTGTGTGTTCCAGTGCTAGTGACCTTTTATTAGCCAGAGACAACATGCCAGAGTCTTTAGCAGTTAGCAGTTGAGAGCCTACCTCTTGAGTCTGCATTTTAGATGTAAATCTTAACTATGGTGACATTCTGTAGAGCAGAAAAGCAATGCTCTAAGGTTAGTAGTCACTAAAGTTTAGCTCAGGGGTAGGCAACCTGCAGCACACGAACTGATTTTCAGTGGCACTCATACTGCCCGAGTCCTGGCCACCGGTCCGGGGGGCTCTGCATTTTAATTTAATTTTAAATGAAGCTTCTTAAACATTTTAAAAGCCTTATTTACTTTACATACAACAATAGTTTAGTTCTATATTATAGACTTATAGAAAGAGATCTTCTAAAAACGTTAAAATGTATTACTGGCATGCGAAACCTTAAATTAGAGTGACTAAACGAAGACTTGGCACACCACTTCTGAAAGGTTGCCGACCCCTGGTTTAGCTAATCCGTGGCCTTAGAGGAACAATTCCAGCTTGACTCTTGGGTGTTTTGCCTCTGTTCTTAAGGAGCAGAGTGCTCACGGGGGAGGGAGCTCATGGCTTCACACAGGGCAAGAGAATTTTCTAATCATCCCTTTGGTGTCAACAGGTTATGAGCTCAGCTCTAAAAGCTAATGTCTGGTGTACTGGCATTAATCTCAAAGAAAACCTAGTTTCCTAATGCAGTGCGGAGAAAGCCATGGCAGCACACCGTGATATAGAGTAGCACCTTGGAAGGATGGATAGGCACAGAAGCGGATGCTACTACAAGCAGAAATTTCCTATAGACAGATTTGACATGGTAAGCAAGCATGGGGCTTGCACGGATGGACTGAGAATAGTGCTAAGTGACAGGAACCTCAAAGGGGTTCCAAGTGCCACTGAGTGACATTTCCCATAACAGAATTATTTCAGGAGACTCAGATGTTCTATGCCAAAGCCTTGCACTTTATATCCACCTAAATACCCCAGGGACAGATTTCCATCTTCCACATGGTCCCTTGCTCACCTTGAGGATTTTAACTACTACTTTTTCATTATTTGTGATGTTGATGGCTTCAAACACTTCGCTGTATTTGCCCCGGCCTAATTTCCGAACTAGCTGGTAGTCATCTTGATTTCTGTGGAGAGATAAAGGCACAGAGTCCCCAAAGAGCTCAGTCAGTCCTTTTTCATTCACAAAATTGTCCCTCTACAAACATCAGCTGTCTGCCTAGTCTTCTATAAAAGCTAGGCAGTACGGCTGCCTGGACTCCTCTTTCTAAAATAAAAGATCAAAGACTGATAGAGAAACGTGGAACCTCACCTTTCCATCTCAATACAAATCCAACCCAGGTGAGTAATGACCAAGAGTAGCTGCCATTTGATAATTGCCTATTTGTAATGACTTGGTCTCCATGTAGTTCCTCCTCAACAGGAGTTCACAAAAAAAACCACCTTCATACATGGAGACCTTGAAGCATTCTCATCAAGAGAGGTCAAGGACTGAAGGGACCATGTAGACAGCTACCCTCACACAGAGAGGTGACCCCTCCTGTTCAGGGCTGAAGAACATTGGGAGAGGAGTGTAGGAAACCTTTCATTGTCACTGCCTGTTTTGCATCTTTTCTTGGATAGGGGATTTATTCCCTGGGATGTCACAAGAACCAAGTTCACGTGAACTGATCAGCAAAAAGCACGAGGAGTCCTTGTGGCACCTTAGAGACTAACACATTTATTTGAGCATAAGCTTTTGTGGGCTAAAACTCACTTCACCAGATGCATGCAGTGGAAAATACAGTAGGAAGATATATATACACCGAGGACATGAAAAAATGGGTGTTGCCATACTAACTATAATGAGAGTAATCAGTTAAGGTGTTTCTCCTCCAACAAGCGACAAGATAAGCCCAGTATCCAATCTTTTCCCTTGAGTGAAGGGCTGGGAAAAATGGTGTGTTGCAGTTGAGACCATCCCACGACGTTTGTTTGGTCCTTCCAGCACAGACTTGATGTGTATGACTTCCACGCACATCACAAAAATCTAACAGATTGTTAACATCAATTAAAATTACTAAGGGAGACAGCACCAAAAGTGCTATAAAACCTGTTTAAAATGGACTGAGTCTGGGGCACTGCTTATGCTCAGAAGACAACGTCCATTTCAGAGTCAGGCACAGGAAGGGCCTACACAGCCCAGACGCTGCTATATAAAAGCAGAAATGCTGCAATGTCAACTGGCACCAATGCGGTCTGAATCTTGGGAGGTTTTAGTTCTAAGCTCAATTTAAACACTCCATTCCTTTGAATTAAATGTACAAAACTTCTCCAGCCCCTTGCAGAGAGCTGAGCAATGAGATTGTTACAAAGTGATATACACAGAGACACTAAAAAAAAAGTCTCTTCCATTATCACCCAGTTTACAGAGGTACCTTGACATCTTTTCAAATTATTCACCCAGAGCTAAGATCTGAGTTTCTCCATCACCATTGAAAAGCAACTAGACTAAAGGAAGGAGGGAGCTGCTCAAAGTTTTCTTATACTGTTGTGGTTTTAATATAGTGACACAAGAAAATCTTTCAGACACCGTGAAGGGGCACTGTGCTATTTCTACAATTGATGATAAACCTTACAACCCTAATGTACATCATTCTTACTAGAATACTGGCAAAGCGCAAGAAAAACCTTAAGCATTATAGGTGCTCGAACTGATAGCTTCCCACACACCACTCAGCCGGATCCAACAAGGACCAACCCCTGCCCAGCACAGGCAATACGAAGTGCAGACACTTACCCCCATTCGACAACATGTGACTCATAGTCCCAGTACTCTCGGGGTCTGTGCGTGTTTACGTCAGTGTAAACTCTGGCCCTGCTTGGCACGGGTCCTGACATGTCGGACAGGTTGCTAGGTGGAGTTATATTAGGTGTTTAGATTTCTGGTAGCCTCTGAGCTCAAAACCGGACACAGGGTGAAGGCCTTGGATGGGCCTTTGGTTTTTCCAACTACAGAAACAAAACGAACAAAGGTTAAAATCTCAAGGCAATATTAAAATGTTTAAGTTAATCATTAAAAGCTGTCCAGCAGAACTGGAAACTGGCCATGGGCCGGAGATCATTCCTCAGGGCTTGAAAAACGTATTTGCTTGCTCACTGAGTAAGTGGGAAGGAGCACTACCCCATCCATTTTGGCAGATTAAAAATTTCACTTTTAAAAAAGTTTTCTAACTTTCATGGTTGCAAATGGTAATCAATGAGTGTGGTCTGAATCTGCAGACAAACTCCTAGTTTACCCATGTTCTGAAAGCAACAACATCCAACTCCTTAACCCTCCAGTAGAGGAACAATGCCCAAGTCACCGTGCGTTGAAGAGCCCAATCTACTATATCCACATTACAAGGTGACGTATATGACTGGAATACACCACCTATTTGTAATGCAATGATAAATGATGCTGCATAATATAGGGGGATGATGGGCAGATTGACAAGTTTTCTGGAGTAGACTTTTTATAAAAACAATATCAATATTTTGTATTTAAATATTTCAATCTTTACTTATAATCCTGTGTGTCTAAGAACTATAAATGCATCGGGGCAAAAGTAGCCTATGATTTCGTTACTTTGTAGTGCAAATATGCATGAAAAGAGGCTTATACATTTCTTTTCACTCTCCCTTGTCCCTATGCTTGCTTTTTATTAAACTCAAGCCCAAGAGTTTCAACCCGATTCCAGTCTAATCCCAAAGTTATTTTATGTTCAGAAAATTAGTTTTCCATCTACAGCAAAATACCAGGGAAAACTGTAAAAAAAAAAAAAAGACGAAGTTTAGAAATGAAAGACCTTTTGGGTGTCTAGAAACACTTCCTTGCTTTGGCCTCTGCCAATGGCCCAAGAGATCTCAAAGTGGTCTTCTGTTGATGGGGCATTTCGAAGTGGTGAGAGACTTACCCAGCATATATTTAGTAAACACTGTCTGTCTTATCCCAGCTATTGCGAGTACAACCACTCAACCAAGAGCAGACAACCTTTGCCCAAAGGGATCCCTACCCTAATTTAAAATAGTTTGCTACTGATTTTTCCACATCCAACAAATCCTAAATCTGCAAAAAGCAAAGAAAAAAGTCACTGAATGTCAAGACTTGTGCACATTTCACTGATCATTCAACACAGTTTTATACCATCTAGAGTGAAAACTCCTCAGGGCAGAGATTGTGGTTTTTTTTTACCTCTAAAGCATCTAGAACACTGTGGATGCTATGTTAATGAACAAAAATATTGATGCTTAGTGTCCCAGCCAACAATCCTGCAGTAAAACAAATCCTTCTCTACTGCTTCCCAGTGCTTGTCATCTGTAATTTACTCCATCTCCTCCACTGAGGACAGACATAAATCCAAGCATTTTATCTAGACTAACATGCAGGAGATGTGCTTTTATGACCACATATATCCATTTTGTAGAATAGAAAGAATCACTGGCCTTGAGTCACTGCTGTGGCTTCTCCATGCCACTTAAGGAATTAGCTAGTAACTAGATAAACAACTTCTCTCCCATTATGTATTTAGATTAATGTTAGCCACCTCCATAAGACCTCCCATAACTTGCGTAAAAAAACCTTGAAATTTGCTTCAGAGCAAGGATCCTTCCATATCTAAGCAGGGAAGTTTGTACTGACCACAAATCTCGTTGAAAAGGCTTGTGTCAAACAGAAATAACCAGACTTTTTAATATAGCTTACTTACTCTCTCAAGAAATAAAAGTCTAAGTTTAGTAGATTCAAAACACATCTAGGACCTCAAATGCAACCTAACAGCAACAAAGTTACTGAAGTCAACCCAACACTCCTTTGAATATTTTTTCTATTTTGTGGTGTAAAACTTTCCCAACTTCCTCTTGTTCTAAGAAATAGCGGAGAAGGGTCTATGTTCATGTTCTTCTGCACAGACGTCCCAATGCTGACATCCTCTACACACAAAAGCCAGCTTTGACACATTAACTTAAGATCAAACAAGATAGTAACAACAGCCAGTCTCTTGGTCCTCATGCTTTTAAGGGCTCGGCATGTACCTTAGGGCTTGCCAACACACAAAGTTGCACTGCTTTAACTTTACTGGTATAGTTAAGGCAGGACATCCCCAGTGTGCATGTCGTTATATCACTATAAAGGTGTTTATACCTGTGGAGCTATTCCCATATGGGAAAAGGAATAAGCTATACCTGTATAAGACACTTTTATATTGATATGACCATGTCCAGACTAAGTGTTGCATCATTAAAAAACTGCACCTGGCTGACAGTTATTCCAGTGCAAGAACTGTGTAGACATGGCCTTAGTAAGACTGATCATTGTGAGCTATCCAGAGTTTTAAGCATTGGTTGTGACTCATCACCAGGGCCTGCTGCTTTAACTAGGGGAAATTCTACAGGCAGAGGAAAATAATTTTGATCACTTGACCATAAAAAGTTAAGACTTCAATTCTGATTGGCCTACAAGAAGATGTGGCTCTCAAAGCTGTGGTCTCACATTCAAATGATTTTCTGACGACACTGCTCTGCATCTTGCTTGTTAGGAGTATTGCAAACAGTTTCTCATGTTCTCGTTTTTAGTGTGACTCTCACTGAGTGTTCAGTTAAGCTTTGCCCTGGCTTTAATGTAAATTAATGCCACTGTAATAACCAGTCAGAATGAGTCAGACCAGACTAACTTCAATTCCAAGGAAAAAATTTAATATTTAAATGTTATGGGTAACAGACTTCCATCTGGTCTGAAATCTAGACCTGAACACACAACATAACTAGTCTACTCCTCCACAAGGGCCACCTATTATTGTTAAATGCTCATGCAATGGTCTCGGCCCAGAGCACGTAAAATATCACCTAAAACTGGGCTGGGGATCGCGGTTGACTACTCTGATCCTCAGGCAAAATGGAATTGTCCATTGTAAGGGTAAAGCTCGTTTGTGCAGAAGACAGCTCTCTCAGGCGCTGGTCCAATATGGTGGAATGAACTTCAGTACCACCTAACCCACCACAAACCTCACCACCTTTTGCTCCAAATGCAAGGCATGCTTTGACCTTGCCTTTGGTAATACAAACAGAGCAAAGTGTACCTATAATCCATTAAAAAAATCCCATACAATATCTCCTTGGTAGGAGGAAGGGAGAAAGTCATGCAGGAGAGATACTAGTCACATTGTTGAATGCACTTTTGGAAGGCATATAGATCCTATGGTATTGAGCATAGTATACAAATCTAAAGAGACTAGAGTCATGATTACTCCTAGAACAGATACCAATGCTCATGATCTCTTATCAGTATCCATAAACTGAGACGAATAGCTCTCTCACAAGGTTACGAGCTCACTTAGAGACCATAAAGCACCTACAGCTCCTCAGATGGAAGGCTCTATAGAAGTGACTAGTATTTATATTGCACCACAGGTGTGCATTACAGGACACTCACCCTTCAGAGTCATTAAGTGAATCCTGGGGTTGCAATCTTACATTTCTTCCCTCCTAAAGAGGGAGATATTTCCTGTATCCTTGCATATCCTCACCCCTTCAACTCAAGGGGTGAGGCAACACACTTGTTTAAATCGGGGGGGCAGGAGGTTATTACATGGGGGCGCGAGCTGTCAGCCTCCACCCCGAAACCCTTGCACTCAGAGGCTTGCTGTGTGAAAGTGGTCACCAATACAAAAGTTTGAGAACCACTGGTTTAAATGGCCCCAAATAAAAATCTTTG